TCAAAACGACGCCACGAATGTCAGTGAAGAGAGTGAGGCAGGGCGAGGAAGGGGAAGGTCTCGTGCAGAAGATTGTACATCGTGTGTAGCTGGGAGCGTGGCGCAGCAGGGCCGTGCTGAGGAGAGGCCTGCGCTGAGCCTGCTGCTGCCTTCTGTGGCTCTGCCACACTGTGCTGCGCAGGAGCAGGGCCATGGCATGTCCTGGCCTGTGTGGAATCTGCTCCTGAGACAGCGATGTTTTCAGTGAGTAGCTCTGCCCTGCGGGCCTGGAGTTCCAGGCTGGAAGGAAGCGTGTCGTCGGTGGCCTTCGCCTCTGTGTTAGAGCAGATCTGGCTGTGTGCTGTGCGTCTTGCTGCTGCACATTCAAACAATTGGTTGAAAAAAGTGCTTTGCACTTGGAACGGGAGGTTTTTAGAATCTTCTACAAACCACGGTTAGTAGGGGTTTGTAATCTCAAAATATCCTTCGTTTAATTTGTCAGTGTTCACAATAGTAAACTGAGGCCCAGGCTACAGATGATTTAACACGTGTGTTCCCAAGAAGTACTGACAGAAGAGGGAATTGCTTGCCACCTGCTTCAACTGCCACTGAACAGTGCTCAGTTAAGCAGCTGTGTGTATCAGAAGCCAAATTCTACCCCCAGTTTCTGATTATGCGGTCCTTATGGTCTTCAGTGACTTGTCTGTGTGACAGTGAGAACTCTCCTTTACCAGGTGCTTTGCAAAATGTTTTGTGTTTGGCAAATGAGAGAGGAGCTGGCAATAGACCCAACCAGTATAACTGCTTAATCGCAGTAAATCCAGGTGCAAAACAAAAAGAGCTCTGCTGTTAGAGGAAACAGTTACACGTGTGTTGCTATCAAAGGTCAGTGACCAAAGTCACCTCTAATGTGGTTCGGCCATTTTTCCCTTCCACTCTGCCAGCACTTTGGCTATCATAACGTGCTGGGAGGCCACACAGAAGCCCTGCTGAAGTCAAAGGAAGCATCATGCAGGGCTCTTACCATGTCAATATTGCTGGTTGTCCTTCTGCAGAGCGTTGGGCTGTGCAGGTGCATTAAGCACATCGTACCCGAGGTAAAGCACACTGGCTGCTCCCAGCCATCTCCTTATTCTGTGTGCCTGAGCGTGGCCTCCAGGAGGCCTTGTTTCCTAGCCTTCCAGGAACTGAGATCAGCCCAGCCAGTTTGTAGCTCTCCAGAAGCAGCCATCAACTGCAGCCAGTGAGCAGGATATCTGCAAAAACAGCCTGACATTTAGGATAAGACTCTGAAATACTATGCCAAAATTATATTTGCGTTATTCCAGTCTGTTTGCAAAGCAGGCTAAACTGCCTTGAAATTTCTCAAAATTATAACAAATTTATATCAAGTATTTTGGGATGCATATTGTAAGTGATAATTAGTATTTACTCATGAAATTCAATAAATTTTACAGAGACTGATAAATTTTCCCAGTGCTTTTATGAAATAGATATTTTATTGTCCTTCCACAGCTGCCCTTCCTTGTACTACCATCACTTGATACTGGGATGAAAAAAATCCCAGCTCTCAAGGCAGCTAAACTATACAGTCTCAGAGCAGAAATGTTCTTGACAATTTCCTTGATTGCCACAGTGTGTCTTGGTGATGGAAAGATTGCACTCTCAGATCCCTCATCAGGGACGTGCGGGTACGAGTTGTGTAGCTCATTCCGATGCCTGCTTCAGATTTTCCTGCATGATATTCCTACAGTAAATGTTTTCATCTTGTGCAGAGGCCCTTCGGAGCAAGCGCGCTTCCTGCAGTAGATGTTTTGCTGTGAGGGCTGTGGCGATTGCGCATTTCAAAAAGGTGCATCAAACCTCAGAGAGGCACTATTTTACTAACCGCAGAATCATTCATTGATAACCCACGGTGTCTGTGAGTGAAAGCTGTGATTAACATTCCACCTGGGTAGAGACTCATGTAGCAAAACATCTGTAGTGATTACACTGCTGTAATGAACTAATTTACACGTTGCAAGTTCTTCTCTGTGCCTGACCTACAAAAGATGTGATCTGTCACAGCTACAGAGCTTTGGAAGAAAGTTGCCCAAAACATCTGCACGGGTTTGAACAGAAAGTTGGTCTCAGTTTAAGGTTGGGAACAAAATCTGGTGACACGAATATGGTTGTGACAAGGTGTGTAAGCATACACCAAAGGAAAATTAACTTCCAGTTACGTCTTGCCATTCCATCTAATGATTCAGCAGGCATGTCTGCCCGTGTAGTAACCCGTACAAGAAGTGAGTCTTTTCTCATCTTTTTGTTCGTTAGTAAATAGTGACTTCTTTGTGGCTCATGCATGACTTCTTTCTTTTCAAAGTTTTCCACTTTCTTATTTCTATAGGTAGAACAATGCGCAGAAGTTTGAGGCATTGTATTTTTGGGAAACAACTGAAGATATTGAGAAGAATTGTTGTTTTTGCAACACAAATAGAGAGAAAATACCTACGTATGGGGAACTGTTTATGTTCCCAATGAAAGCATAGTATAGAAGCATTCAGATTCATTTCTAATGTGTTTCAGATTTTAGGAAACATTTCTCCAGTATTCGTGTTGCCTTATCTATATATTATTAACATAAGGAAGAGGGCAGTCTATCATGGCACTCCTCTCTATCTGACCTTATGACAACATTAAAAACAAGATAAGCAAATCCAGGCTCTAACGTGTTTCAGTACTGAGAACCTTGGTCTGTTGCAAAGTCTGCACCCATTATAGCAGATTTTTTTTGCTGAAGCTGAGCCTCTTTTCACATTTATTCCAAAGAATGTAAAGTGATGAAAGTTCTGTTTCTTCAACTAGGTGTTTACATGGCTGTGTTTACTCTGTTTTGCTTATCAGCTGAACTGGTTGTCACACACAGGTTATACGGCCTTCATGCTACTATCCAGGACTGTGTTACCTTTCTGCACTCCGATTCATTGATCTATTTCTGTGGATATTATTTTCATGCTTACTTTTTGAATACTCACACGTCAGTTCACCACCTCCTTTGCCTGGAGCCTAGGGGTGAAGGTCCAAGCACAAGCAGGACATCATCAGCGTATCAGTTTTATTTTCCCTGCTGTGCCGCAGCAGAGCACCTTGCATAAACTTTACTGTTTACCTTTGAAGTGCGGCGTTATCTGACATGTAAGCCTGGCTCATTTGTTAGTCACAATCTGTCTGTGGCTCTGTGGTGTTTCAGTGACTGTACGATCCATTTCTGCTGTGCCCAGCATTCCAACCGCATCCACTGCGACACAGCATGGTATCATTTCGTGATGCTGTGAGGAAAGCACTGTATAGAATAACCCTGACAAAGTTTTTAACATTATAGCAATAATTGCATGTATCTCTTGTCATACACAGAGATGTTTTCTGTTTCCAATTTTTAAAATCAGTATATAGAAATTACACTTATTGAAAGGATAAATATACTTAATTTTTATACTTTTATTGAATATTTTTAGCATATGATTCTTTATTTCTTCAAAATATTTTCTAAATTGAAGGCTTTATCAATAACTTGTAAATTCCAATTAAAAGTATTGTAAAGCAGTGCAGAGATAATAACATCTGCTCTAGTTGGGTGTGCACTTTTTATGCAGAAGACGTGCACAGTTACCATGCAGATGCAGAGGTGCACTACAGCTGAACGTGTAGATCAGGCCATCATAGGTTCCTGTAGCTAACTAGAATAATTTGGGTGCATAAGTACCTGATTTGCATAGGAAACTGCTGCAAAAGCACACAAAGATATTTTCAATCAGATAAATCATTTGTCAATCTTACAGATATGTTTCTAAGCAAATTGCAGGTGGAAGTAAGCTAAATTTGACATTCTCTTTGCAAGCCTTTGTTGTACTTCAGCGTCCCTTTTTCATTCATACCTACAGCCTTCACAAATTACACTTTAAAATAAAATGAAAGAAAGCATGCAAACTGTTAGAGGAAGTGATATAAGGGTACTTCACAAATTTGTTCATCAAAGTGAAAAAAGCAACTACAGTATAAAAGTTTATCAGCATAAAGGTTGAGGAAAGCGGACCCAGGCATATTAGTAGGAGGCAGCAGTATTAAAGAAGGGGAGCAGAAACTAACATCCGTGTATTCTTAATCCGTGGTTATCCAAGATTTGGATTAAGCTGCCTTCTGGAGGCCCTTTTTGTATTGGAGTATTTACCTTTGGTCGCGGTGATTCTACTTTTAATGAGTTCATATTTGAGAAAAGACCAAGAAAACCTTTCCGCTGAGGATTTCAGCAGAACTGCTGCTGAGTCAAAAACACAGTTAAAGCAAAGCAAATTGCTGCCTTTACCATTCTTTAAATTCCTTTGCTAATTATAGTAATGTGTAAACATGCATGCTATTACTGCTGACACTATCCAACACCCCTTCTAAGTTTTCTTCACTTTGTTTCTTTTCACTTAAAATAATAAAGCATTACTGACAACACTGTGTGACATTGCTTGCATTTTTTGTGATCATATCCAGCGAAGGCTGGTTTCACTGCATTCAGCCTAATATTAAAAGATGTCCTCATTATTTCATGCTTTTGTAATTTATTGTTAATACACAGCCCACAGAAACTTAGTATTTGCTTCTAAGTTAAGAGTTTCCTCTAAATCACTTTAATCCATATGTATTTGTCCATTGTAGAATCACCAAAAGTGCTTTAAAGTTCAGCATTTACAGCAGAAATCTGTTGCTCAAGATATGTAAAACATTAGGGAAATGTTCCCTCTGTCCTGCCTATGCTGCAGCATTCTAAACAGCTTTAGTGTTAAATGAGATACAAGTACCTTCGTGTTCTGTTTTCATGGCTCCATGAAAATTCAAATCCCTTTGTATTTTTCATTAGAGATAAAGGAAAAGAAAACCATGCGCTAAGTACAGCTTGTGGCTGTTAGGGAAAATTTATCAACAGTTACTGACTTTGTAATCATTGCATACACTGTTGACATAACATGTTTTTGTTCCTCACAGGTGCAACAGTGAGCTGTCAAAGACTGCCTTGCTTCTTCTCCAGAATAACCATAGACTTTACAACTGAAATTACTGGGAAGCTGATGGGGATTTGTAATACATGTGCTAAGGTAAGTGAGAATCCTGGCCACGTGAAAGACAATCTTTAGTTGGATGTCTTTTCTAATCAAAAATATCTTCCCAAACAAATATTTATCCCTTAAGAAGAAAACGAATGCCCCTGTCCTGACTGTCTATTTAACTAACAGATCTGCTCCAGTCCTTAATAAACTGACCATCTATTACCCTATTGAAATCAGCAATGTTTTACAAAAAAACAGAGCTACTTTGAAGCTATTGCTTTGGCAAAAATAATTGTAAATGCCACAGTGATGCCATATTTTTTTAAGTTTAGAATATTTATTATTACTGGAAAATTCCAATTCTATTTTAATGAGGAAACTTTTAGCTATTATTCTTCAGTAACATCATGGATGTTACTGGTCTAACCAGAAGGCTTAGGAATTAAAATGGATGTGCGCTGGGATTGCTGGCAGCTTATAAGAAAGTGGTCCAGATGGAGAATTTTTCTTTCTCATAGGAAGGAATATTGAAGCTTCCCAATGGCCAGGAGGTGGTCATTCATAATGCCCTGCGACTGCAAAAGAATGTGCCATGCTCAGTCCGTGCACAGATACTCACACACCCTACTGAAATTACACGTTTGGCATGTTCTTAAAATGAAACTTTCTGAATGCAATTATTCTTATTAGTTGTGCTGTGATTCAGTTTTATGCTACTTAGTAATGAAATGCTCCAGTGGAATTTGGCTATTCTTCATAGCATATCTCATGAGAAAACAGTGACCTTAGCTTGCCTTTCTACCGCCTTTTTTCCTCTGGAAAAAATCAGCCATAATTAATATAATGTTACACAGAAGGGATGGTAAAGAAGGACCACTTGGAGACATTGGCTATCACAGTAGGTACTTTCCAGTAAAGGCACTGAAAATTTTAAGTGGAAGGAAAAAAAAATTAAATTTCAGTGAAGAGCAAACGTAGAGAGAGAAGACAGTGTGGTGGGGTGCTGTTAGTGCTGGGATGCTACACGACTTAGATGAGAAAGGGGAGGATTAGCAAAAAAATAAAAGGCTGCAGAGGCAAATAAAGTTGGCTGCCTGGAGAAGTGGGATAAAGGTAAAGCAATACTTCGGTGTGTTGGAGAAGGGAAATTCTGGGCTTATGTTTACTGTAATTCCATTGCCTTCCAGAAATATTTCCCAGCATTCTTCTCAAAGAACAAACTAGGGTAGAAGAACAACAAAAAGGGTTTTGTGATTGCATTCATCTGAATTTGAAAATCTAGAAAATCTAGATTTTCCAATAGTGTAAATTGTCTGAAATGTTATTGAAAATGGGACCATAATTTGATGGCACCGTGAAGAAAGTGAGGCTTACTCCCTTAGTACATCACTGTGCATTTCTGTAGTTAACATAATTTTACTACACTATTTAGAGATAATTACATGGAGTGTAAAACAATGTTCTTTGCCCATGTGGACATTCAACACTGAAATCTCTAAATGACAGAGGCAGTAAAACGTTTCATTCTGAAGTATTTCATTCTGAAATTCTTTAGTTAATCTGTAATTATCAACAGTGAAGAAAATAGTAGAAAGAGAGAATGTCTGTTCATTTCTGGATAAGTCACAAATGGTCGGCACTGAGCGGCAGTGAGGTGTCCTGTGCTTTGTTCTGTCAGTAGTGCATCTTCTGGGCAAACCATTTACCCTCTTCTGGAAATTTTTGCAAACATTTATGGCAGCTGATTATTAACTCCTGTTTTTGAAGTTTGTTTGTATTTATTCTTTAGTAGATGTCACAACAAAAATAATAAGAACAAATGTTGGAAAAATTAGAAAATCAGTAGTGAAGTTCTAGGTGACTGTGACAGAATAATCTACTTGGTCTGTCATTTTTATGAAGTTAATGTTCACTCATACTCTACTGGCTCCTGTGCTTTACCAGACCTTGGTTTCAGTTCCATTGTTTGTTCAGAGCATTTAGTGCCCTCAGCAACTGCACTGTGTTTATGTATATCATTAGAAAAAGGTAGGCTTCAGCTTGTGGCATTTCTTGGCCAGGTAAGAAAAAAAAATGCTTTGGAAAGTGTGTATTTTCTGCGTCTCTCTGCTGTATTTTCTGCATCCATTCTGAATAGGAAATTAAGCAAATTTTGTTAAATTAATGTATGTTGCCTAAAAATGTATGAAGACTGAGCCAGATTGTTTTCAGAGCTGTCTTTGAAAAAAGGGAGTCGAATTTTACTCAAAGACAAAAAAGTAGCATTTAACAGTGATGTATTTCATGCAGGGAAAACTTGCATTGGCTGCAGGTAGAGCTGCTCTGCAATGAGATCCCAGGTAGGCAGCGGTGTGCTGTATTGAGAGGTTTCACAGTTTGGCAAATTATTGCATGATTGAAGAAACGTGGAACATAGTGGTCTCAGGAGATGGCAAAACATTATTTCCATAGTCTTTGCCCTTTATTTGACATAAGTACTCACCTTGACTCATCCAGTAATGACATGGAGGTTGAGTTGGGAACAAAGCGTGGCACTGGTGACAAAAATTGTGGGATTCTGGTTTTTGCTACTTTAATGTACGATTAGAAATTGATAATCCTTATTTGGGATTGGGAAGAATTTCTAATTGAGACTGATTTACTAAATCTTAAAAAATGGGAATGAACATCTCTGATTCATTTACAGAATCCCAGTAGATTTCCATTTGGCCTGGAGAGTTTTCTGTCCCCATTTTCAGACTTCATTGTGTTATCTGTATTCACTTCTTTATCTTATATGGCAGCCTTTTCATTATTAAGCAGGCTCAGTGAAGGATACACTAAATTAGAACATTTCTGTCCTTTTACAGCGTAAGACAGCACAGAGTCTCTCCTAAGCTTTCTGGTGTACTGGTACAGCAGAAGATATACATGAGCTGTATCTAACATCTAATCTGTAGTTATCTTCTGAAATGCTGCGTTTTCAGAGCTACTCTCTTACTTTTCAGGAACAAACAACTTCTAGCTGTTAAGAATGTCTTCAGGAAAATGTAACAGCCAAAGATCCTGACAAGTCAGCAGAGAAGGACTTGAGTCATATAATAAGGAGTTTGAGTTACTTGTGACCCTTTATATCTCAAGACTTAGAATTTGTCAGGCTGATGGTATGCAGCACAGATAAAAAGAAAGGCCTTTTTTTGGTACTAATTTGGCAATATAACCTTAATTTTAAAAAAATATATCAAAAATGGGGAGGGTGGAGGAATGGGCAACTGATTGGCATGTTGTGCCAGGGTAATTAACTTAGACATGGCTGCTAAAAATTGAATCACGGTAAGGCAGAAATAACTAGTATGGGAGTCTGGACAAACAGCTGTAGCAGATCAGCAGTTTTTTCTGTAAAACTCACCTTTCTGTAGGCAACTGCAGATCTGCATGAACAGCATTTGCAGCTGATAAATGCCTGTCTAAGAGCTCGATTCTGAAGCTCAAATAAATGCAGTTGCATCAAGCACTTGTCACAAAGGCCATTGCAGCAAACAGGAGAAAGTTAAGCACCACAGGGACTACCAAGAATTACTTCAGTGAGTTGGAAAGTAAAATTAAGAACAAGAAAAAACATTTGGAAGAAGTTGGGAAAAGTGGTTTGATTGTTGGAGTGCCGGATGTCCTTGAACAGACCTCTGCTCTCCCCATCTCTACCTTCTCTGTCCCCTGATGCAGTGGATACTTTCGCCTTTTATTTTAATGAGTACAGAACTGGGCTTTATGTTCTGGCGTAGCTTTCAGAAACATTCTTTGAATGTAGAGAAGGATCCTTAGGCAATTCCAGCAACATAGATTTTATTTTCATTTTTGGAGAGAAAAAGAGAAAGCACTGAAAGCACTGATGATAACATTTCATATTAAAAAAAAAAATAAAGTCATGTAATATATTTTAAATGTCTAAGAACAAATACTCAAGGAAAACCAAAACTCTTTTCACCTTGAATCTCACACAGTCTCTGGATCTGTAACCTGCCAGTTTCTGTTGTGTTCACAGGCAGGTACCTTTTTCAAGCTGCCATTTTTAGTTTCGGTTGTTTTTCTCATAAGGGAATCCTTCCATGCTCCAGGTTAATTATGTTTCTCTCCTCTCAAGTTTCTTTACTACCTAGAAATTTAAGCTAATGCAGTCTATTTTAGGCTTTTAGAAGTGCTCAGTGCTATGATATCTGTGCACTAATCTGCACAGATTATACAAATCAGGGATCATCCTAGCACATAGTATCTTTTGGCTGGCCTGAACAGTTGTCTCAGAGTAGTACTGCATTGTGCCATGCAGAATGTGTACATTTTAATGAGATGAGTTAATCCCTGTATTCTTGGAAAAGACCTTGATAGTATTATCTGACTTTACTTACAATACTGTTTGTATTAGAGTACACAGAGCTATTCTTGGTCTGCCAGATCAGTTAAAGAAAAACAGCCTCTTACAGACAACCAATATTTAATTATTTACAAGCTACTAATCAGTCACTGCAGTGAGTTCAGAAACTAGAAATGACTGCTGCATTTGCTGAAGGCACTGAAACAAAGAGCAGTGGTGACACTGGTGAGGTCCTAAGAAAGAACTCGCTGGCATGTTCCAGTTGCAGAGTCTCAGTAGCACTCAGCTCCAGCTTGGGTCAGTATTAGCAGTGACAGCCAAGCGACTGAGCTGCACACATCACTAAATAATGCCAAATGTCAGAGTTTTCTAAAGAATCCCTTGCCTGCAGTTGCTGTCATCCTTGTCCGTAGTGCAGTCTTCAAAGTTCGTTAGCTGACAGCAACAAGTATTTCACCGACTCCTAGGAAAACAGCTCCTCGTTATAGTTGTTCTGCAGCCCTTTTTCCTGTTGAACTCCGTCAAATTTCACTTTCAAAATAATTAACCTGGACTTGCAGGGAAGGTCTGTAGCCTGGATTTGTACTTGGGAGCAACAGGAACTCCTGCCTGAATCTAGACATATAATAACTGCAGGTTATCAGTATTCTTAATGGAAGACAGACAGAGATTTGGACATTAGAAGAGCATTGTAGCTAGC